CCCTACACAGGAAATGGTCCAATTTTGTTATTGTTCTCAACAAAGATGTCCAAACAACAAAAAAAATTGCTGAGAGCTGGCTGAGACTGGTAACAATGATATGAAGCCTTAAAAGCCCAGTTCCTTTTTCTTTTTTAAAGTGGATTTGGGAAGGAGGAAGCTCTCTGGCATGTAAGGGACTGAATTTTCCGTGCCGTGGGGAATTTTTTTCCTGTCACTCTCTCACAGCTTCTGCTGCTAGTCTGGTGGGAATAAGAAAAAAAACTGTGACAACATTTTCCCAAGAGAGCAGCGATTTAACTTTTTGTTCTGTATCTTTAAAATATCTGTTCACTTATTTATTTTTTGAGCCTAATATTTATTGAATACAATTAAGTCATTAAGGCAGCAGACCCTTCTCAGTCTTGGTTACAGGCTCAGTGGTTATAGGAAGGACACTCTGGCAGGATTGATGGAGGATACCTTTTTAAACATCCTGGTGGAATCCTCACTTATCTGCATGAAACGCATAATCACATTGTTCAGATAGATGTCACTCAAGGTTGCGTGGTCTTTGCTTTCTCGTCTCACTTGGTTCAGGAGCAAATACCAGCAGTTCACTGGAGACAACAAGTTCTGGTCTTTCCTAAGGAGTGAAGGAGAGAGAGAATTACCATCAGGTTCAAAGCTGCCCCAATCAGCTAAGGGAAAGTCACCAAGGCAAACTAGGAGCCACAACAGATGGGCATCGTCCCTGTTCTTTCTTCTCTGAGCATTGCTCATAGCAAGACACTCCAGAGCCAGCAGAACAGTCTTCCAGGCTGCGAAGGCACCCAGCCAGCAATTCCCCTAGCCTTGGAAGAAACAACTCGAACCGAGAACACCAGTCAAAACCCACACTCCTGACAAGGGCATGTGACCCTAACATATACAGTACTAAGGCAGGCCTTTAGCTTTAAACACCCCATTGAAGAAAGCAGTTTATGTTTACATAAAAATCTATTGACTACTGTCTCACAGACAGACTGTGGTTTGCCACTGAACGCAAAGTGTGCTCTGAAATGTCCAGTCTGCTGTTGGAAAGAAATTTGGCTAGGTATACTTTCCATGGAACATAAATGTGAGGACGATTTACTAATCCCCTGATACTTAACCTCCAGCCTCCCAAAAAGTGTTCCTGGGAAGCAGAACTTTACAGGATTGTCGCAGGGCTTGTGAATAGAACCAAGAAGTTTACTGGCTTATGACATGTCACATCTCCTTTTTAAACCCATTAAGTTATTTCAGATTTGTAACCACTCCTTGTTTGATTCTACATAATAAAGTGAAAAGTGAATATAAACCACAAAGGGCAACTTGTAAAAAGTTTTAAAGAAAAACTCCAAACAAAAGCAGTGACCAACGGGGATATTACTGCTTTAAAAAAAAAAAAAAGTACAATGTTTGCTTTTTGTTTTTTTTACTTTAAAAACCTAACTCTAGGGCTTCCCTGGTGGCGCAGTGGTTCAGAGTCTGCCTGCCGATGCAGAGGACGCAGGTTCGTGCCCCGGTCTGGAAGGATCCCACATGCCGCGGAGCGGCTGGGCCCGTGAGCCATGGCCGCTGAGCCTGTGCGTCCGGGGCCTGTGCTCCGCAACGGGAGAGGCCACAACAGTGAGAGGCCCGCGTACCGCAAAAACAAAAAACAAACAAAAAAACCCCCTAACTCTAAATGGCAAAAAGAGGCCCGCGCACCGCAAAAACAAAAAACAAACAAAAAAACCCCCTAACTCTAAATGGCAAAATGGCACAGAATGTTTATCCTAACTCAGGGACACTAGTGCTATTTTATCAGACATGTTATCCTCCTAATATTCATGATGACTTATGATTCTGAATACTAATTAAATAAGAAAAATGATTAAAGAAGGACTTTCAGCCCTTACGTCCTTCGGATTCAGGATTTAACCCTGCATCAGTCAAAACCCTCTCTAAAAGAAAGAGGAAGTAGACCACAGAAGTATGGATGGATGTAAGGGAAGAAACCCCTGATCTAGGGTCCCAGCACTTATACCCAGAAGAGAAGCCTCCCACTCTCCCAGCTGTGGCACATTAAGAATTACACCCCCAATCTAAAGAACCCTCCTTTTCTCTCAAAGCCATCGGGCAAGGAAGGGGCAATGGTTCTATGGAAGAATACTGAAGCCTTTCCACTGACATTCTCTAGCCGCCCAGCCCAAGAGGTAAATGTTATCTTATATTAACTTTTCTGTATATCCTTTATGATAAAGTAACCCATAAGTTCTTTGAGAACATTTCATACTTTTTTGTATCCACAGGGCCCTGCCCATGGTCAGCATTAAATAAATGTTATTTCATTCATTGAACAAACACTTTTTATTGCCTTAATAGTAAGTGATAACAGTATCGACAACAACAAAAACAACAGAGGCGGCTAAGCTATCATTTACTGAGCACCTACTGAGCTCACAAGTCAAGAGCATGGAATATGGATCTATACTGCCTCGCTTCAAATCCCAGAACAATTACCTAGGAGATCTTGGCCAAATTATTTAAACCCCTCTGTGCCTCCGTTACTTCATTTGTAAAATGGGTAAAGCAACAGTATCGATCTCATAAGATTATGAGGATTATTTGAGTTAATATATATATTTTTAGGGCTTACTAGAATGCCTTAGATTCACAGTAAGTGCTGTGTAAAGTTAGCGATTTTCATCTAGTGGCTGGTCTAAAGACTTTACACACACTAACTCTACCTAATCCTTACCACTACAACTTAAGGCAGAGATGCTTTGTATCCCCTCTATCAATAAGAGAACTTAAGCTTTAGCAAGGCACGATTTGCTCAAGACCAAAGCTGGTGTCAGAGAAAGTCTCTGAGTCCAGGGAGGCTGATCCAAGCCTTGGTCTTTCTACCATGCTATGGCAACTTTAGGCCAAGGATTATCCTACACAACAAGCATCCCAAAACTGAGTAAGAGCTAGACTCCACAGCCCAGCTTAAATGACTGGTAAAGTAAAGGTGCTAAAGATTTAACATTTGTTTCGGGAAGAGAAGGAATACTGAGTGCATACCCCATGTCAGCTATTAATCACATCAACGATTTGTTACGTTTCTCATTTACTCGTCATAAAATCTCATTTTACAAGTTAGGAAACCAAGGCTCAGAAAGGTTAAGCAACTTGACCAAAGTCACACAGTAGAGCAGTATTCAAACCAGGTCTGTTTGACTCTTTCCTAAAGGGCTGTCTTTGATTTATTCCCCCCTAACCCTGGTTTGTCCTTTCTGTAGACTTATTACCTTATCTTCAGTTCTGTAGTCAATAATAAACTTACTCAAGGAAAATTCCGAGCTGCCTACCTTTTGAAGAAAACTAGTGAAAAAACCAGGAGGAACAAAAGGTGGCAGCTGACCCACTCAGGATCAGACTAGGGTGCATGGGCCCATCCATGTTTTCAGTTCACTAGAGATTACCAAGTACAGAACACAGAAGGAGACATTCAAAAATATTTACTGAATGTATAAATGGGCTGTCTTCTTATTTGCAATCACTTTTAAAAAGGGACAGTTTCTATAAATGAGGATCTAGTACTGGCTCCAGTCTCTGTCAAGCACATTTGATATTTGCTCACCCTGGGAACTATCACCAAAATTTATTTCTATGCTGACCAACACCAGAGGTTAAAGTCACCCAAAAATAAAAATTAAAAAAGTATTCCCTACCCAGAATAGCTCTGCATTTGCTTCTGCAAAAGGACCCCTACTTCCTTTTTTTCTGCAAAAGTTCCTACCTTTTTTTTATGATGAGAAGGGTTAGAAAAATTTTTTTATTGACGTAGAGTTGATGTACAATATCATGTAAGTTACAGGTGTACAATATAGTGATTCACAATTTTTAAAGGTTGCACTCCATTTATAGTTATCATAAAATATTGGCTATATTCCCCGTGTTGTACAATATATCCTTGTAGCTTATTTTATACATAATAGTTTGTACCTCTTAATCCCCTTCCCCCAGGTTGCCCCTCCCCACTTCCATCTCTGCACTGGTAACCACTAGTTTTTTCTCTGTATCTGTGAGTCTGCTTCTTCCTTATTATATTCACTAGTTTGTTTTTGTTTTTGTTTTTTTTGGGGGGGTACACGGGCCTCTCACTGTTGAGGCCTCTCCCGTTGCGGAGCACAGGCTCCGGACGCGCAGGCTCAGCGGCCATGGCTCATGGGTCTGGCCGCTCCGCAGCATGTGGGATCTTCCCGGACCGGGGCACGAACCCGTGTCCCCTGCATCGGCAGGCAGACTCTGAACCACTGTGCCACCAGGGAAGCCCAGTTTGTTGTATTTTTTAGATTCCACATATAAGTGATATCATACAGTATTTGTCTTTGTCTGACTGATTTCACTTAGCATAATACCCTCCAAGTCCATCCATGTTGCTGCAAATGGCAATATTTCATTATTTTTTATGGCTGAGCAGTATTCCATTGTGCATATTTAACACAGCTTCTTTATCCATTCATCTGTTCATGGACACATAGGTTGTTTCCATACCCTGGCAATTGTAAATAATGCTGCTATGAATATTGGGGTGCATGTATCTTTTTGCATTAGTGTGTTTTTTTTTGTGATATATACCCAGGAGTGGAATTGCGAAAAAGGAAATGCAAATGGCCAACAGGCACATGAAAAGATGCTCAACATTGCTAATCATCAAGGAAATGGAAATCAAAACTACGATGAGGGCTTCCTTGGTGGCACAGTGGTTAAGAATCTGCCTGCCAATGCAGGGGACACGAGTTCGAGCCCTGGTCTGGGAAGATCCCACATGCCGGGGAGCAATTGGGCCCGTGAGCCACAACTACTGAGCCTGCACGTCTGGAGCCTATGCTCCGCAACAAGAGAGGCCACAACAGTGAGAGGCCCGCGCGCTGTGATGAAGAGCGGCCCCCCACTCGCCGCAACTAGAGAAAGCCCTTGCACAGAAACGAAGACCCAACACAGCCAAAAATAAATAAATAAATAAATTAAAAAAAAAAAAACTATGATGAGATACCATCTCACTGTAGTGTCAGAATGGCCATCATCAAAAAGAACACAAATAACAAATGTTGGCGAGGGTGTGGAGGAAAGGGAACCCTTCTATACTGTTGGTGGGAATGTAAATTGGTGTAGCGACTGTGGAAAACAGTATGGAGGTTTCTCAAAAAACCTACCCTTTCTTTTTTTGTTAATTTTATTTTTGGCTGCATTGGGTCTTCATTGCTGTGCTCGGGCTTTCTCTAGTTGCGGCGAGCAGGGGCCACTCTTGGTTGTGGTGCATGGGCTTCTCACTGCGGTGGCTTCTCTTGTTGCGGAGCATGGGCTCTAGGAGCGCAGGCTCAGTAGTTGTGGCGCAGGGGCTTAGCTGCTCTGCGGCATGTGGGATCTTCCTGAACCAGGGCTCGAACCCGTGTCCCCTGCATTGGCAGGCGGATTCTTAACCACTGCACCACCGGGGAAGTCCCTACCCTACTTTTTATGTAGGATCCAAGGCCACAGAAGGGTGTAAAATGAAACTGCAAAGCCAATGGTGAAGGCTAAGATGCGCTTCTCTGCAACCCCCTTCCATTTGGAGCCCAGGCTGAGCAGACGGGCCTCCTTGTTGTCCCCTGTGTGCGTGGGCGAGTGGCTTTCTGTTCTACCATCTCACTGAGATAGTAGTTCTGTTGCTCCTGACTTTAGGCTGTGATGCAATGCAATAGGACTGGCGATGGGGAAGTCCTCCCTTCCAGCTCCCTACCTTGCATTAGCCTCGTCTTCTGTCCCCACGTGGGACTAAGGGGTGATATAATCACCACGCAAGTTTTCAATTCCCTTTTCCTTTTTTGGCACCTGGAAATTTCCCTTACTTTCCTGAGTTCAGTTATACATTTAAAGTGATGTCAGCATTTCCAGGAGTTTTACAGCACAAGTATTTTTCATATTATCTAGTTCATTGTATTTCCAGAAATGAAAGACTGGGAGGTCTTTTTCGTATCTCCTAAACAAGTCTATTGCTTTCTACCTGCAGTGTTGCCAGTTCATGCCATTATGGTGAGGGTCTTCCACCTGGTCTCCCTCCCTTGACTGTGTCCTCCTCCAGCCCCCAATCCTATCTACGGTCTTTGTCATCATCTCAAAATGCAGGTGTAAGCCGGTCTTCTTTCTACTTAAAACTCTACGAAGCCTTCTCAGGCCCTTAGGATAAAGTCCAAACTTCCTGGTATGATCCACAGGCCTCCATGATCTGGCACAATGTACAGTGGGCGCCACACAGCTCACCACCTTGCTACTCACTCCCACCGGCCTACTTTCTGCTCTGCAAAGCTACCCTACACCCCTTCCCTTCTGGTCTCTTATGAGTGATGTTCCCCTTGCCTGAACCTCTTGCTCTGGTCCCTTTACTGGCCAACTAGCCCTTCAGGTCTTCACTTACGTATCACTTCTTCCAGGACCTTTCCTGGACCCTGCTGTCCCCACCTCCACTGCAGAATGGATTTCTGTCAGGTCTGTCCCTGGCATCTACCCCGTGAGAGCCCTTGTATACTCTACTGGAGTTGTCTGCCTACTTGTGTCTCAGATTTAAATTCTAAAGTAAATCTCATCAGAAAAACCTGCATGTATCTTTTTTTAAACAAATGAAGTATAGATGACAGTGAACATAGGTTTGAACTGTGCAGGTCTACTTACACAGATGTTTTTCAATAAATATAGTCCCTGTGGGACTTCCCTGGTGGCACAGTGCTTAGAAGTCCGCCTGCCAATGAAGGGGACACGGGTTCGAACCCTGGTCCGGGAAGATCCCACATGCCGCGGAGCAACTAAGCCTGTGCGCCGCAACTACTGAGCTTGCGCTCTACAGCCTGCGAGCCACAACTACTGAAGCTCGTGCACCTAGGGCCCGTGCTCCGCAACAAAGAGTAGCCCCTGCTAGCCGCAACTAGAGAAAGCCCGCGCACAGCAACAAAGACCCAGCGCAGCCAAAAATAAAAATAAAAAATAAATTTATATAAAAGAAACATAGTACCTCTATTTTCATTACATCCTTAAATTAACTAGATGCGGGGGAAAGTTTCTGTTCAGTTAGAGATCACAATATGTAGAACTTGGGTTTGAGTCCTGATCTGTCCATAACTGTTTCAGCTTCCTGCCTTTAGGTGACTCATTTATCAATCCCTTTATTTTTGAGGCAGAGATAGCAGTATGTGGACTTTCAACTGTGCAGGGGATTGGTGCCCCTAACTCCAGTGTTCTTCAAGGGTCAACTGTGCAATTAATATAAGGTTTAATTAAGCTAGATTGTATGCATTTTACCAAAAGCCCTTGTTTTAAGTCAGTATCAACTGCAATGACCACAAGCATGATTGGGGGGTGGGATATAAATTTAAGCAACCCTCACTGCTTATTTTCATGTAAGATCACTATACAGAAATCTTGAGGTCTTTGCTTGAAGAATCAGCTATTTAAAATTTGCCCATCCAAATACCTACCTGTGTTAAACAACAACTCCTAGTGTATTTATTGTAAAGAGAAACATGTCAAGAGAATACTGTTAGTTTAAAATGTAATACATTTATGCTCATAAATTATAAATGCAGAGGGTTGCTTTTATCTATGGGGATATATCAATCAACAACTTTTCAGACAAAAATGGAAAATTCTAAAACCAATAAGGGTGGTAAAAAGATAGGATATCCCCTTGGAAAGGTGAATTTGAGGCAAGTCCCTCTTACTTGTACTGCTGATGATCCTTAGTGCTTCTTGTTTTTGCCATGAACCTTTCTGCTAACTTTTCTAGGTTCCGAGAATATTCCGTCTCAATTTCGGCTTTTTTCCGGAAGAAATCTTGCAGGTCCTGCAGAAGCTGAACTCGCATCTCTGTTTGCTGCTCCAGGCATTTCTGTTGTTCTACCAGTTGAGCTCGAATTTCTAAGGACAGAAGAGAATCCATTTGATGATTTCATGAAAATTACTGAGGTGTGCTGGTATGTGCAAGATAAAAATAATGAATCCTATTATACATTTAGCTCTGTATTGGACCTTTACCAGGCTGCTGTGCTCAGGTTGGGTCTTTAAATAAGATATCTGCTGACCCTGTAAAAGAATGAGATAAGCCTCTGGAAAGAATGTAATAAATTAGAATAGAGGGCTTCCCTGGTGGCGCAGTGGTTGAGAGTCCGCCTGCCGATGCAGGGGACATGGGTTCATGCCCCAGTCCGGGAGGATCCCACATACCGCGGAGTGGCTGGGCCCGTGAGCCATGGCCGCTGAGCCTATGCGTCCGGAGCCTGTGCTCCGCAACGGGAGAGGCCACGGCGGTGAGAGGCCCGTGTACCGAAAAAAAAAAAAAAATTAGAATAGAAACATGGATTACATTTGCAATGCCACAAACATGCGTGGAGTCATGAGGGGGGAAAAAAATGAAAGCCTTTCAGATAACAATTTGTAACACGTGACATCTTTGGGTAGCTGAGGACACTGTAGCTTTTTTTGTTTTTTTGTTTTGTGTTTTTTTGTGGTACGCGGGCCTCTCACTGTTGTGGCCTCTCCCGTTGTGGAGCACAGACTCCGGACGCGCAGGCTCAGCGGCCATGGCTCACGGGCCCAGCCGCTCCGCGGCATGTGGGATCCTCCCGGACCGGGGCACGAACCCGCGTCCCCTGCATCGGCAGGTGGACTCTCAACCACTGCGCCACGAGGGAAGCCCGACACTGTAGTTTTTTAAACAGCATTTCACCTCAACTATCCTTTTTGAGTTTGAATGGCAAAGAAGTGAGCATCATTTCTTCCAGACTTCTGAACCTTCTCAATTTCTTTGCCAGTTGGCACATACAAACACTGACATCTGGTAATTTTTATTTAGTGCATAAATTTCTAGTTTGTAAAACACATAGCTTCAGGGTTTATAGGAATGCCACACCTAAAAATAATTTCCTTTTATATCCAAATAATCCATTCATTATGGGGCAATCCTTGGATTCCACTTTATTATCCTGATCACAAGATCAAGAGCTCTTCACTTGGCTTTCACTTTTTCCCCATTGCTCAAACTAAGCCTTATCGACACATTTATCTGAAAAGAATCCTTTGACAATTTTAATACATTAGGAACAGGAAGGTTAGTCATTTAGTGATTTAGTAGAAACACAAAAGCAAAAGTGTGTCATGCAAAACTATCTGCAAATGACTGTAACAATGAACCATGTGTGTTTTGGAAAATAAGATACAGTAACTATTAACTACTGACTTGTTTTTGTTCTGAGACTCAGGGCTAACATCCAAAGACAAGAATATTCATACTGGAAAACTTCTTTATTTCATCCTTCCCAGTGTCGGGTGCATTATTCCCTAAAAGTGAGGGCTGAATCTAATTCAGTGGAGTTTAAGAAACTGATGTCCAAATAACAGCTCCTCAATTTCTTCCCATGCTTCTTCTCAAAGACTGAGCCGACAGTATGTATTCACATACTTGACCATGTGTAATCAGGCTCATTAACAGCACAGCCATCCAGTTCTGAATGAGGAGTCAGGAAATTTGCTCAACTTAACAGCTAATAACAATCAAATGCTTGCTGTTCTACACCCTAATGAAGTGGATACTAGTATTATCCTCATTTTGCAAAGAGGAAACTGAGGTTTAATGAGATAACATACTTCACGTAGAGACTTCAGCTTGTAAGTGGCACCCGCAGGACCTCTAACCCAGGTCCGTCCGTCAATTAATTGAACGCTTCTGCCTGCCTTTCATCCGTGCAACATGTTTTAAGTACCTACAGTGTGCCAGGCCTATATCCTGGCAAAGAAGATACAGTAACTATGAAACAAGGTCTCTGATCTCAATAAGCTCATGTCCAAGCAACATGGTTTTGGGGGAGTCCCGGGGGAAGATGGGAAAGCATTTCTCAACCGTCCTCTCTTGGTTTCTCCACTTGGAGATTGGGGGATCCTATTCTTAATCTCATAAAAGTGTGGGGAACACCAAAGCGAAGACATTATTACGGGCTTTTAACTACGACGAACAGCAGCTGGTTTTTAGTCCATCAAAGTAAATATTTTTCAATACAGTATTATAATCAGCATGTCTGCCAAACTCCCCCCCCCCCACAAATACAGACCTAGTTTTCTTTCATAAAGAAAAAAAAAAAAAATCAAGGGTGGGGGCATTTCTCATCCAGGAAGTCTTTTTTGATGAAGTAATTTTAGCACATCTTGCTGTGCTAAGTGAAAAAAAAAAAATCAGTCGTCTTTGGCTGTCAATGAGTTCTGTTTTGTTTTGTTTCTCCCCCCCCCTCCTTTTTTCAATTTTATTATAAAAAAACTTTTATTATAAAAACATGTATATTATTTAAAAGCTTAGCTCATGGTGTGTCTAAGTATTACTTGCTTTATTCTTGCCTTTTCTTATTAAATCCAGTATGTGGTGAATGGGCTATTTCCTTTTTATTCTTAGGTTTTATAACAATATGTAAAGTTACTCTTCCATTGTTCTTTTTGTTTTTGTACAAGTACACAAAAATTATATGGGCTTCCTTCTTGGATCTCATTCTTAGATTTTCTCTTGCTTGCTTCCTTCAGGGTTTAAAATCAAGAACTAGGGAGTTTTGAGAAGGAGGACTCTATTTTATTTATTTTTAATTAAAAAATTTTTTTTTTGTGGTACGCGGGCCTCTCACTGCTGTGGCCTCTCCCGTTGCGGAGCACAGGCTCCGGACGCACAGGCTCAGCAGCCATGGCTCACGGGCCCAGGCGCTCCGCGGCATGTGGGATCTTCTCGGACTGGGGCACGAACCCGTGTCCCCTGCACTGGCAGGCGGACTCTCAACCACTGCGCCACCAGGGAAGCCCCGGAGGACTCTATTTTAAACAGTTACAATCCCATCCTCATTTTGCAGGGAGTAAATGTTATTTCACATTATCTGTAATTTTCCAGTCAAAATAGGACACTGGCAACATTTTCAATAGTGGGAAAAGTGGAGGGACAGAACAAAAAGTATGCTCCAAAAATCGGAGAGAATTTGTTTGATTATCTTTTAATTTAGAAAAGTTTAGGACAAATGAGGAAAAGATCACAAGGAAATCAAAAGCACAATGAGATACCACTTCACATCCACTAGGATGGCTGTAATCAAAGACACAAGTGTTGGTGAAGGGTGGAGAAACTGGAACCCTCATACACTGCTGGTAGGAATGTAAAATGGTACAGCCACTTTGTAAAACAATGTGGCAGTTCCTCAAAAGGTTGACATAGACTTAACAAATCTACTCCTAGGTATATACCCAAGAGAAAACACATTTCCCACAAAACATATAGACAAATGGTTACGGCAGCATGATTCTTAACAGCTGAAAAGTGGAAATAATCTAAATGTCCATCAACATGGAACAGAAAAACAAAATGAGATATAGCCAAAATGAGATATAGTTTCATGCTTATATTGAAAATATAAACTTAGTGAATAAAAGTAGTCACTCATGGAAAGTGTGATTACATTAATGTGAAATGTCCAAAAGAGACTAATCCACAGAAACAGAAAGTAGATTAGGTGTTGACTAGGGCTGGAGGTGTTGGGGAAAATGGGAAGTGACTGATAAGGGGTGCAGGGTTTTTTTTGGGGGGGGGGTGATGAAAATGTTCAAAAAGTGATTGTGGTGACAGTTATAAAACAGTGAGTACACTAAAAAACAGTTAATTGTACACTTTAAATGGGTATATTGAATGATATATAACATATCACAATATAGCTGTTATATAAAAAACAACAGACTGCCATATCACAATTCATTGAAATTTTGGTTGAGACATTTCTGAGAATGGTAACAGTAGTAACAACAAAATGACTCCTTGGGACTTCCCTGGCGGTCCAGTGGCTAAGACCGCGCACTTCCAATACAGAGGGCCCGGGTTCGCTCCCTGGTCAGGGAACTAGATCCCACGTGCCGCAACGAAGATCAAAGATCCCGCTTGCCGAAACTAAGACCCGGCGCAGCCAAATAAATAAATAAGTAAAATAATAATAATAAAAAAATGAGTCCTCCTATTTCCATACCTCATACTTTTTAGTAGTTTATCAAATTTTACAACATATGGGCAAGCACTTTAAAATGATGTCTTCACAAAATGGCTCTTGCTTCAATATTTTAATTTCATCCTGAATATATCTGTGAGTCAGAATAGTAAATTTAATTACTGGCTAGCATCATTTGTACATTAATTATTACAATTTCTAATGGTATAGAAAAAATTTACCTAATAGAACATCAGGAGGGGCTTATCACCATGACTCCCAGACAACTGCATAAAACAGCGCAAACTCTTTCAGGCAGAAAAATGCCATCTCTGAGGAGGCTCCAAGCAGCTATTATTTAAATCTAGGGCAGGACCTACTAAATACTAATAATGGCCATTTTAAAGGAGCTAAAATTTACTGTTTTTTTTTAAATGACTTATTTAATTTCTGTTCTACCAGAGCATCACCACAGGATGAATCAACATCAATAATCCAACAAGAATAACACACAAAAAGACTATGCTTTCAAACTACTCAATTAATTTGTTTAAAAAATTGAAATAGTTCCTCTAAGCTACAGAAATATTGACTAATACTTACCAAATAAAATGGAATTGCCTAGGAAAGGAGGAAATGGAGGTATTTCTTGCTATTGCTCTGATAAAGGGAAGTCCGAACCCTTAAAATAAATCTGTGTGAGACCACAGAGTGTGATGCATGTTTCACGGAAAGACTGAGGCCAGGCTGGGCTGTTTCTCTAATATGCTACTGAATGGTTAGGACTAGGGCATAAAACTGATAGACTGGGTGTGATACTAGTGATCATCCAGCAAAAAATAAAAACACAGCAACACTTCTAAAGCATCAAAGACCATCTCAATTATTTCATAGTCTTGTTTCGTCAGACCTTCCTTATGATGT